CTCTCTCTCTCTCTCTCTCTCTCTCTCTCTCTCTCTCTCTCTCTCTCGATAATTCGGTGGACGTGCACGTAATGAATAAATTACGATGCATCATCTATCGTCTAGCGAAATAAAACATTTCGTTGGCATGCTGCAGTGCTGAGATGTTGGCGCTTTCGATGCGCTGATTTCGTGACATAAACAACTGTGATTTAATCTTAGCGCGTTCCTAATTCGCTTGACATGAAAACACGTTATTCTCGTAATTTCGAGTGCAATGTGTAAATAGTCCTCTCTCACAAGGTTGAATCGAAGCGGATCAAATGAAGTGAAGCAGAAAAAAAACGAAACGAACACGATACAAACAAATCAACGCGAAACGCTTCGTGGAAATCAGACACGCCGTAATCGAAACACAAACCGAGCAAAAGCAAGCGTGCACACGTAAGCCTAAGTAAATCAAATTTGGTTTAATTAGTAAATCTCTCAGCGGCTGCCGTCAGCCTGTAAACATAAGTACACAGGCCCAAACTTCGTGTAAACATAATAAAGAAACACTGTTTACTTTCTCGCTTAAAATACATAAGGGTTAGGGTTTTATTTTTGGAAAGGCAAAATAATCACTTTGACGTGAATTGCAAACAGATGCGCACAGACAATATATTGAAACTTATTGAAAATAACCGATACTGGAAAAAATAATACGTCGACAGCCTCAATCGAATCAAGTCGACACAAGCGTCTTGAGCTCTTGTTATTCACGCCCGTCGCAAATATATTGATTTTTCTCTAAAGAGAACACAAAGTTGCGTTTCACCCTCTTTTTTGTCAATCGCCGTCCATCCCACATATGACGCGATGTCGTCTTGAGGGATAATATTTCGGCTGAATGTTCACGAGAAAACTACAGATAAATCGACACAATGGAAGAAATAAAGAGAAATAATAAAAGTAAACAGAGTCACTGAATGAGAAAAAATAACGAACAAATGCTCAATCAGTGATTTCCAATCTATTTCGTTGTACTTTATTCGCAATTTCTATCCTATTTTGATGACTTTTAACATGTTTGTCTCTCTATTGATTACAGATTTATCGCGGAATCGACTCTGTGAATTGCCTGAAGATGTGACCGGATTTCCATTCCTCGAAACGTTGCTCATGTACCACAATTCACTGCGCTCCATTCCAGAATCAATACGTGGATTACATTCGCTGTCTTTCTTGGATTTGCGGTAAGCGGATTTTGATGATTGAATTTCTTGACGAAAAGAGATTTTGTTAATAGAAAATGGTGCATACTCTTAAGAAGAATTCGAAGGGTTAAGTTTAGATTTGATATTCATTTCAATACAAGGATTCAATAACTTTTTTTCAAACCAGACTGTAGAAAGCTGGAGCTTGGAGTTTTGCATAAAAATGGCATGAACTCTCTAAATAAAACAAGTGCCCAGATCCAAAATTGCAATGTGCCAAAGCAAAAACCTGGTACAAAACCCTAAATTGTCTTCTTCAACATAGGAAAAATTCCCATGTTTTTTTTAAAACTCGAAGTAAATTGCAAACACAATTAAAGTAATTTCCTTATTGTTGTGCAAAATTGCTGAATTTCATTCGAAATCCAATTAAAATTTCATGCACACAGAATGTTCTTAGCCAAACGAATGGCTTAAATTTAAGTAAAGAATGCTTGGTTTAATATTCGTCATGCACGTTGCTCATGCGTTGCTTGTTTCTTTGCTCTAATTGTTGCTACCGTAATTGATACTAATTGAATAAATTCTTCAGTTTCTCTTTATTTCCATTGCAATTACTGCCATTTTTCGGACTGAAATTCATTTTATTTCCATTTTATGGAAATGAGTATGGAAAAACCATGGATTAAATTGGGCTTTGAGTAAATACTAAACCTCATTTCTATTGTCAATTTCCAATAGGAGCAATTTGCTGACATCACTACCACGTGAACTATGCTTTCTGCCGATCGAAGTGCTTCTAGTCTCAAATAATCGCTTGATCGCACTGCCCGATGAACTGGGACGAATGGAACAGCTAACTGAATTGGATGCAGCTTGCAATCAAATCACACATTTACCAGCACGAATGAGTGACTTGAAAAACTTAAAATCGCTTTCACTACGCAACAATCAATTGGTCTACTTGCCAAGAGGTATTTATAAAGAAAAAACCAACAATTTCTTCTATTTTCATTTTTATTTTGCTGCTTTTTTCTTTATATCTTTTAACAACTCTTTTTTCCTCTTAGCTCTTAATCATTTTCCATTTCGTTAATTCCCCTCATTTCATGCTTTATCACTTCAAATCTAATTATAAATTAATTAAAATCATTTCTGTTTTTGCTAGATGTAACGTGTCTAAAATTGGTTTCACTGGACGTCAGCTGCAATCGAATAGCAACACTGCCAGTCGAACTACGGCTCATGACGGATTTAGTGCATTTGGAACTGAGCAGCAACCCATTAACATCTCCCCCGGCGAGTGTAAGCATTGTCAGATTTTAAATCAATCCTTCTGCTCATTTTGATCTACTCTTTATTGAAAACATGTTTCACGATATTTGAACTTTGAAACTTTGTTCGATTCTTTCAACTTTGTGATCCAATTATTTGAAACTTTTCACCTACTTTTGTCCTTACTTCTTCAATTGATTTTTGTCCAATTTTCCAAACACAATTCTAATCTTATTCGTTCCATTTCAGTTATGCGTCAGGGGCTTAGTGCATGTATTCAAGTATCTGGACACGATGGCAATGAAGGAGGAAAAGACACGGAATGGAACATACGATGGGAACACAACGCTGCGACGGAAGGCAGCTGCAACACTCAATAGTGGTCCACTGACTGAGCTGCAAAAGATTCGTCGTCAAAATGTGGATTCTGGTTACAGTACAAGTGATGGCTTTGATAAGCGTTGGTCACAAGAGTTGGCCACTTCAAATGGTACCCCAACAGCAGCAGCCGCCGCTACAACAGTTACCGACAATGGAAATGCATCGAAATGGTCACCAACACAAACAAAATCGGTGTTAAGTAGTGAAAAGCAATCGCCAAGCACTGCTAGCTACTCTCAATTCCAGCCACAGTCAAGTGGTAATTCAACACCAACCCTGTCATCGCCAGCCGGTAGCAACAATAACACTCTCACTTCGAATCAAAGTAATATCTCTGATTATATCAAACCAAGCGATTTAGCCGATAGTACAACACCAACACGAAGCTTGAATGGAAACAACAGGTTCGTATCAAAATCAAAACCCAAACATATTGCTCACACTTTCATTTCATGCAGCTGCTCAAATTCATTCACCATCCTGCTTCATGCAGACAAATGCATTTTCACCATCATTTCATCACAATCACCATCATGTCACGTTTTTAGCACAGTTTCATTCATTTTCATCCCATTTATCATTTTCTAATATCATTTCATATCATTTCGATCTGACAAAATTGCAAATTATTATGTTTTTTCCCCGTTTTTTTCTTCTTTTTTATATTCGTCTTATGTTTCGTATGGATTTTAATCAAACAGTAATGATGTGTCTCCTGACATCGATTTGACTCTTAAAACTGGAGACAAATATAAATCATTAGGCAATATTCAAACGTATAGGTTAGTAATGTGATTATGATTTAAGGTATTTCGATTCTCGCACGTACGATATTTTCGATTCACTTGGTTTTTGGATGTTTATGGTTTAAGTTTAAGTTTAAGTTTTTTTAGCGGATGAGCATACTAACCCCACCCATCGTTTGCCGAGTGAATGACTAACAAAATGCTAAAAAATTTGTGGATTTTCTTCTTTGAATTTTATTTATTGAATTGGAAACTAATCGGAATATGTTTGATTCAAACAGGGAATATAAAGAAGCGTTGCGTCAACAGCGAAATCAAGATTCGCACTCAATTTATCGACCAAAGGAACCAGCAAAAGAGCAGACATCACCCGTTTCCGCACAAGAATCTCCATCGAATGCGACAACAACTAAATCGAATACCTCAACACCGACATCAACTCAAATTCAAAATAGCTCAAGCAGTACGGCCAGCACCAATTCACCGTTGTCACCACGTTTTGCACATAATTCAAGCGTTAAGTATGTTGGGCCAACAACTCTAAATACAAATGGTTCGACTGTATCGAACGGATCATCCGAGTCGATTAACAGCAATGTCAGCAATGGAACCACTCCAATCACATCGATAAAGTCACCGCTCAGAGGCGATAAACCCATACAAAAGGTTACTCCATCACGAAATAGCACACCAATTAAATACAATCATCAGCAAGTTACAAGTCCAACGAATGGAAATGTGACAATTGCCAGCAAATTAAATGCCACAACGACCAAAGAATACAATGCGTATATCAAACCGAATAGCCCTGCCAAACCGAACACCATCAATTGCTCAAACGGATCTCCCGCCATCAATTTGAATAGCACACCAAAAACCAATGGAAGCAACAAATCTGCAGGACAGAAGAGCCCAAGGTAATGGAGGAGGGATTTGAAATTTTCCACAAAAATTGTTGTCTTTTGCCTGAATTTCCTTGAATTAATCGAATTTTTCCAAATCATTTCAGAAGTGTGTCCTGGAACCGTGATTCACCGGCTGAAAAATTGAGTTTCACAATGCGACGCGAGTTCGATAGACAGAAAGAGGAGAGTGAATTGATTGAGCAACTGCGAAAGTCGATTGAAAGTCGCCTAAAAATGACTTTACCAAAGGATATCGGTTCAGCATTGACCGATGGCGTGGTTTTGTGTCATTTGGCAAACCATGTTCGGCCTCGATCGGTTGGCAGCATCCATGTCCCATCACCAGCTGTTGTAAGAATCAATCGAAATTTTAGTCTTTTTCCCGTCTTGGTTTGTTGTATGAACGTCACGTTCAATAAAATTTCATAAAAAAAAATCCCATTTTAATTCCAGCCCAAATTAACAATGGCCCGATGCCGTCGAAATGTGGATAATTTCCTGGACGCTTGTCGAAAGATTGGTGTTGATGAGGTAGGAATGAGATTTACCTTACCTTTAAATAGTTTCATGTGAAAGTTGATCTGTCGTTTATTAGTGTCAAAATCGTATCTCGTGACTAAGCACAAATTTTTCAAATAAGCCGTAGTTGCACTTTCTATACATTCGCTGCTTCTTGAGCCAGTTGCTTAAAATCACTTTCTTGCCTCAATTTTCTATTTCACTCAAGAATTTAAAAAAAAAAATTTCGCTTTGTTAATCAATCTGTTGTACATAAAAGTAAAATCGTTGTTGCTACCAACCACTTTAGGCTTAAGCAAACCAAAAAAAAAATCCCAAATAATTTCACACTGCTAACTGCCTGTTGTTTTGGTGTTGGTTGCAGGAGTTGATATGCTCTTGCGCTGATATTGTGCCAACGATGACGACGACAACGACGGATGGTATTCAAATGTCTGATGCAACAACGCTGGACAACCAAATCGCCGATGAGTGTACAACAAACACCGAGCATCGAGCCAGCTTGGATGTGTCGCCACCGCCAAATGCAGCCGCCATGTATCGCACCGTTGCCGCACTTTTAGCGATGGCTGAAATTCCGTCATGTTTCACAGGCAGTGCAAAGCAAACACATGCAACCAACACCACGAACACTGGCAATTATTCTGACGGAACGGTCGACGAAATCGACAGTTACAATCAGTATTTCAAGCAAATCGGCATACATTTCCAAAAGTCCGCCAATCGGGTGCTGCTGCTGGAGAATCAACCTGAGAATCCAAGCAAAAGCGAATGTCACACCATCGATGGCGATCACTTCAATGAGTATAGTTCAATTGATGATATTGATTGCAGTGCATCTAATGCGAATGACCAAACGATGCAATGTAGTAGTTTGTGCAGTAGTAGTGCCAGTACTAACCAACCAACATACGATCATTGTCTTATTGAACATGCGATTGAGTTGCCTAATGACTGTAGCAGTAATATTAACAGTATTAGCAATAGTGTTATCAATAACAACAATTTGGTTGAACCGAACGCGGATTGTGTTGATGCTCGGTCTCTGCCTGTGCAAACGCGACGCAAAATACCTAACACATTGAATTTGATTATGTCTAATACAACCATTTTGAATGCATCGTCGACGTCAACATCACCAACCGGCGGCGTTGTTACGACGAAAAAACGCAAAATGTCTAACCTGAAACGCACTTATAAACAAATGAATAATACCAAATATTCGGATCGATTCGCATTGAATGGAATCACCGAAGAGTGCGAATACGACAGTGATATTGGCAAATTTAATTGTAAAATTGGCACATCGGATCAACTCATGTCGGACACAAGCAGTGGATCGTATGAGTTTTCCGAAGAAACGGCCACCATTCGAACGGATAGTGCGAGTAGCAACGAAGATCAAAGTTTAAATGACCTGAATTTAACGCCCAAACATCGAAACCACGACACGAATCACACTATCGAATGGTTCAATTTTAATAAATCCGAGAAAATCGTGATGAAACGCATTGAATTCTTTGAAAATATTAACAACAAAACAGAAACCAAGCCAAAGACCGATGAAAATCTAATTTCATCAATCATTTGCATGGCGTCATTCATTTTCGCTGTTTTGTTCTTGTTTTTCTTCCCATTGGCCAGCTAAATAGATAAGGCAACATAACAAAAAGAACAGGGACATTGAAAGTATTATCAAGAGGCTCATCATAAGAATTAACATTTATTTTACATATTTAAAAATCGATTCATAATATTTTTATACTTAACAATTCGATTAAAACAATTTGAAAACATTCAAATTTGAAAAAAAAATACACGTATCATGACACTAAACTTTATGAAAGTTTTTTTTTGATAACTAAATCAAAAATATGGAATTAAAATTAAATTGAACCAGTTTTTTACACTTAATTTATTTCATTTCTCTTGAAGAATATCAGTCGACCAAAAATACTACAAAACAATATATTTAACTATAATTTTCAGATTAAATAAGGCAGCCAGTTTATTTTGTGTTCATTCTCATTTTAAGTGATCAAATTGTGGACAATTATTTAGCCATTATTCTGATATAGCAAACCTATTTATTTATTTATTGTTTTTTTAGTGTTTAAGATGAACCATTCCAGTTATTTTTGAAGTCGAGTCTCTCAGTATTAGCCTAATACTATTAGGCGATTATTGGCCATTCCAAATTGAACAATGCAAATTCAGTTGAAACTTTTGTTACATTTGCGAAATATACACTTTTTGGCTTTTTATTACATAAATTTTTTTGTATCGAACAATGATTCAGCTAATTTTTGATAAATATCAATGGACGTTTTTCTGAAGTCAGCGTGCTATTTTTCTTTCTTTGAAGCTTTATATCAATTACGCTAAATAAAAAGGAATACGTAACTCAGTTTACAGAATTATATTTATGTTGCGCCAGTTTTATATTAAGTGAAAGCAAACGTACTTACATTACATAGTTGTTAAACATGATTTTGAATGGAAATAGCTCCAGATAAACTGCTCACGAATTATATTACGTCTCTGTCGAATTTTCTCTATCAAAATTCAATTTCGAAAAAAAAACTGATTGAAACATTATTACTGCTGAAATCGTGCCTCCATTTTTTTTCTGATTGAATTAGAATATATCCTATTTTTCACGGAAAATCCTTTATTTCAAAAAAAAAATGTCTGAAATTATGAAAAAAGAATGGAAAAAAATAAAAAAAGCGTTAAAAAAATTAAAAATAGATAAAAAATTGAGAACAATTTTTATTGATATTGAAAATTGAAATTGAACATAATTTCTCTTAGATTGAAAACCGTTCCTATTACCATTTCCATTTAAGAGGTAAATTATTCGTGAGCATATGAACAGTTCCTTATTTTCAAATGAAAAATTTCCATGCAACCGCTATATGCAAGCATTTTTCATTAAATTTTTGCGATAATTTTGAACTTCACCTGTTTTGTTTTTCTCCAGTGATGATTTGAAATGGAATGAAACCATTTCTACAGGTCAAAATGGGACTTTTATACGAATGTTGAAGCGTATACATATTTAAACGTCTAAGCAAGCATATATTTTGTATACAACAAATAAATTACTATATAAACAAAGCACATGTTTAGCTACAAATAGCAAGACCTTGCATGTGGGTTAGGAAAATGAAAAGAGTAAAAACGAAACAAATTTAAAAGTAGAGCAACCAATTTTGGTTGTTTATTGAAATAGGAATGTGATGAATAGGAAAAGAAAATGAATTGGCCTATATGTTGATGTGCTGTGGTCTCATTCATTCACCAATTGCACGCAAGAATGGTTCGAATTTCATTACTTATTTAATTGGCAAGTCAAAAGAAAAAATGTAGAATTTGAAATTATTTATACTAACATCTTTGATGGAATTAGAAATTGTATCTTACTTATATAACATTTTGGATCGCAAGCGCAAATATTTTTACATTCGCACAACAAGGCAAATTGAAAAAAGTAAAAATTTTATGTCAGGGATGATGATGAAAATTACACACACATAACAACAAGAAGAACTGTTTGAATAAAGCATATACAGAAATTAATTTATACACAAACAAGAAAATGCTTTGAAATAATTTGGTTTTCTTTGATCTAATCCCGAATGTGCTTGATAACCCAAATCCAAAGAAAATAATGCCATTTTTGTGAATATTAATGAAATTTTCCTTCTGATTTTCCATTTAGAATCTTATGTGCTGTGCCGCCGACGTCCTAGAGGGCAAAGGTGTTGTTCAAGTATCCATAACAGTAGCGGAGCTGCTGCGATTCCATATACCAAACAGCGCGAAATCTCCGCTCAAATCGCTCACCAACAAATCGATCAATTCACCGGGTATATCGAATGGGACGCCGTCACCGACCAAATCCAACACAACCATAACGGCAATGTTAACATCACCATAAAATCGATCACACATTTTATTGTATTTTAACTGTATTAATTGTTTTCAATGAATTTCGGAGCGGAAAAGAAGAAGAGAGGAGGGAGAAGAAGGGAAGAAAAGATAAGAGAGAAAAAAAACCGTGTACGATGTCATTAGATAAAACTGTGTTTTAGTCGAAATCGAGAGTTGATCCCAATGGGATTTGATTTGTTTTATTTGCAAACCAACAAAATGTCATTTATGAGATTTATTTTGTGTTTTAAGTTTGCTTGTTTTATTCGTGTAAATTCCGTTCAAAACGTCATGTAATAATTTATTGTATTTTGAGCAAAAAAACGAGGAAAGGAATCACCATTCGATTCGATGATGAATTCATATTTAATGTTTTAAAGGATAAACTAATGTAAAACCAAAATTTAATCAAATCGACTTCCGTATCGTGACTGTATGTTCAAGAGAACCGTCAGTCGTTGCAGATAACGGAAAAAAAATCACATCTCGTCTAGTTAAGAATATTGTATCAAAAAACGAAAATTTATATAGCGAAAAGCAAAACAAAACATTGTACAATTGCGTCACAAACCTTTTTAATCCATTTTTTCACACAATGAATTTAGGATGTAAGAACTGTAAATGAATGCGAAGAAGTAGAGTTTATCGGGCCTAATCTCCAAATAGGTGTAGTTTGTACAAGAATGATGACATTCGACTTGAAGTCAATGCTCAGTACGATTATTGTTCGTTTTTTTTTGTAGAATGATATCTGTTCGTCTAGAATTTTTTATAGGTATAACGAATAAAAATGAATATTTAATGGCATAATGGATTGCGCAAGCAGTCGATCCGTAATAATAAAGTACATTCATTATTTATATTAATCCAATTTATGTACCTATTGAATAACCATTCGGGTGTAAGTGTATGCGATAATCGTTAGTGTTTCGAATATTCTAGAATCCGCCATAGACAAACGAACTTCCACACACCCATACACACATACACTTCCAAATATCATAGCAAGTAAAAGATAGTTACAGTTATCACTGGTGTTTTAATACAATTCATTTTGCGATAGAGAGACGGAAAGACCATTCCCATTTGGGAATGTAAATTATACCAAAAATCAAATCCTTTTTTCTACTTGTTTCATCACAAGACTTGTACAATTGGCGTTAAGGCTGAGAACTGATTAACTTTTGCTTCAAATTCTAGACTCAATTTTTTTTTGAAAACAATAACGACGATTTTTTGACGATTTTTCTTCTCAAATAATTTACCTTTGGTAGCATTTTGTTTGAAATCAATGAAACTAGAATTTTAACCAACAAATTTAGATAACGAAAATTTAGGCGAAAATAGAACTATTAAATTTACAGGTTTATTAAATGCATCGTTATGCTCAGTCACAGAAAACAAAAATAGTCAATAGATACATTTTGCATCCAAAATAATCCAAATAAAAACAAATGTTTTCTTGTTGTAAATGCACGAATACAAAATACGACATTCAACGAAGTACACTAGCCACTTTTTGTGGAATTTAAAACAAAATTACAAAATAAAAAAAAACAATTATGATAAAGACGAAAAATCGGTGTTGTTATTTTTCAGATTTTGCTGGTCGAATGTGTGTATTCAGCAATATTCTCGATGATTATTTGTACTCCCATCAGGGAAAATAAGACGGAGAATATCTTCGAATCGGACAACCGATGCATCATTCTGATATTGATCAAACGGAGGTGGGAACATCTTTCAGCTTTTGGATATGCATTGACCATTTGATGCTGTACATTTTGGAATTTTTGTTCAACAGAAAAAGTTCTAGATCTCATAGTCTGATTTTATAATGTTCTCTACGCGTTTATCGAAAGATTCTTTGAGAATTTTATTTATATGTGGTTGAACCCAAATTTCCTGATTTTCACACAAAAATCAATGAACAGTTTAAAGTTGGTTTTGTTTGTCAGACAATTATTTCCATTTATTTTTCTCGATCAATTGCGTATATTTATTTATTTCATTATCCCAAATTATTCTAATTTTCGACAAGAATTTTTTAATGTAATTTTTTCAATAAGAACATACATGCATTTACTACAGCCATTTTTTGTGTTACAGCCGATTATCTGCAGCAACAAGAATTATAAAAACGATAAACAAAGTTTATTTATTGGCTGCGTCTGGCTCAATTTTAGTTTGTTTTTCAAATGCAAACGTCAAATCATTGTTGATTTGAAATGTCAACGTCAACGGCAACTATTCAATGTTACTTTAGTTGAATATTTTAATGAGATCCTTAACAAGTTTGGAGGAGAATATTTCTATACCATATGACTATATTCACCGTTGAAACCGTTCTATTCCTAAACAAACGGAAGAATTTTTGAATCTCATTAACGCGCATTTGTTCATGCAATCAGATGAAAATGAAATGTTTTAGAATTTCGTTCTTGCATACGATAGTGCTTTTATTTATTTATATCTGTTCAACAGGTTCTGTTGAAACCAAATTCTGTGATTTTCACACAAAAATCAGAGTTTGTTTTGCATTTCATATCATTTTTTTCCATTTATTATTCTCAATTGATTGTGCATATTTATTTAATGCACCGAAATATTTCGCAAAGAGCTTACGTACCAGTCCAATTTTGTTGGCTCTGACTCATCACTGTTTAAAATTTGATTTCGATATAAATAAACATCCACTTGCCAATATCAGTATTTGGTCGGGGATTTTGGTTTGAATTTCTGCCGTGCAATTGAAGCATTCATTCTTCGTTCGGCCAAGTTATTTCTCGTTTCTACTTTTCTTGTCTTTTTCATCTCCTAATTGAATTTGGAATTCCCCCATACAGTATAACATCAACAAACATGCGTGCGCAGTTCAGCTACGTACCACGTTAGGCAATAAAACTGATGCATTTTCATCATAAACTGACTTCCTTTTCTGGGTAATTCCCGACGTACCCGACATTATGGCAGGGCTTAAAATAAGAGTGAATCAAGTCCAAAATGGTGAATCAAAATTTAAAAATGTGAATCAAAATATGCCAAACGGTGAATTAAGAATTCACCAATAAAATATTAATTTGATGTCTCTTTTTTAAAAAATTCGCGACATTCGAACGTCAAATATATTTGATGTGATGGATATTGCAGTTTCAACCGGTTTATTTGAATTTTGCCGCTCATTTACTTGATATGATCTCATTAATACAAAATATATTTGATAATAATTACCCAATTTTCAACCCAAATTCGGAACTGTTTGGAACAACAATAAATGAACGGAATTGCACACATATCAAGGTCTTTAAATCGTTAACTTTCTTTCTTGATTTTTATGCTACTGTGAATTTTGAATTCCACCCCCCCCCTTTTGATTTCAGAAAATGTGAATCAAAGAAAGCCCTTATTTTAAGCTCTGCATTATGGTGCCACTTTGTGCTCAAAATGTGCACTCAAAACAATTAGCATATGCTAATCCCTTTTTCTTTCGTCTACCTTCCATACCATTCGGAACTTTAAGCCGAATTGATGGTTCACATTCCTAATACCTTGTCAAGTGCAAACCCATCCCTTTTTATCTACTTATCTCATTTCATTGGTCAATATGCCTTCCCCACTATTTTGCAGAATATTGATAAGAAAAACAATTAGTTAAGCTAGGGAAAAAATGTGTCTCTAGAATTTAGTCCTCTGTAACTCACCAGCCAAGCAAGACATAGCTCTGCTTGTGCCTCATTTGATCAATTTAAAAATAAAATAAAAACACTTAGAAAAAAAGTGTTTCGTTTCATATAAGTAAGGAAAAACTCCCTATAGTGGTTTCAGTCAGATTTCGACACTCAAAAAGAAACATTCATTCCTCATATTGGTCGGGGAATTTGATTTTAGTTTCAATTTCTGACGTGTGATTTAAGCATTAATTCGTCGTTTAAAGTAATAAATTCGTTCGATTTGTTTCGTTTCAAAGCACACGAAGAAGATTTGAACGAGATGTCAACGTATACAGTATATTACACCTGCCGAACAAACCATTGTCCCCAGGGTAGTACAAGGGAAGAAGCAAAGATCCAGAAAAGTCGAAAAAGTGTCCACAATGCAAAGTTTTCTATCCACCATCGTACTTTGTATGTATAATGTGTTTGAATAGCTTAAATCTCTTCCGAATTGGAATTTTCAATTTGACGTTAGTATTTACTTTCGATTACAATTTTTTGTTTCGTTTGCCATATTTCAGACGGAAGTTGGCGTCGCCACTGATTGGTACCACTGAATAACGGCCAAGCAAAAGTTTTCTACTATAGCTCACGATGAAACAACTAGGGAAATTACATTTTTTCTTGTTAAAATAAATTCAATTAAATAAATCGTGCGACGAAAACTTTTATCGTTTAAGCTCGCTTTTGCCAGCGAAGAAAAAAATCGTTTGTTTTTATTTCTTTGAATCTGAAAATATTTAATAAACAACTTTTCAGTTTTGGCTCGGTTTTTGATCATTGAAAAGGCTCGCATTGAATTGTTTGATCACGAATAAGTGTGTGTTTGCCTAATACACAGAGGAGAGGTTAGTATTTCCAAATTGAAAGCAATCACTTTCAGAAGATCAACAAGTGCTTCATCGTTTCCCAGTGGATGTTTGCACCATCGTCATTATTTTGCCAATATTTGTAATAATTCTTTAGCTTTTGAAAATGCTTTGAAGGTTTTAGTTTCAGTTACCATTTTGAAACAAAACTCTTGTTTTGTTCAGGATGTTTTTTTAGTTCAATTTCAATAATATTTTCAAATATTGATGCTGTAGCTTTATTTCTTTTTATTGCACAATGCACATTCATTTATTATGCACCGACATTCGAATATTTTCGCATAAAATCGCTTCCAAATTGCCGGTGTAATTTCATTGAAAATGGAATATTGATATAAACGCCATCTGTTGTCAGTCGCCCCGATTTCCATCCATTCTACCAGAATGATGCATAACATTTATAGCAGTTTTTGACACAAGCTTCGCTTCGATGACACTTCGTGTATTTGATAACAAATGTGACTGAAGCGGACAAAAACAATAATATTTTTTGTGATGAACATATGCATTTCTCTTGATATCCATTGGAATTAAATAAAACTTTGTGTGTGTTGTTGTTTGGGTGTGCAACAAAATGAGTGGAACACCGGTCGAGATTCATTGGTTTCCGCGGCATTGTGAGCGTTTCGTGACTTGGGGCTCCGAGATAAATTTGTATCAAATTCGAAACACAGAAGATGTTGACCATCGTGTATCAACAAGTGCGTCGCAATTACGGAATTTCATTATTTCACTTGAAATTTGCCAGCAAATCCTTTATTTAAAACGTTTTTTTGTTGTTGCTATTTTCAGATATAAATTTAGATATATCACAAGCAACAACGGCAACATTATTGGCATCCGAAACGCGATATCAATACATACGCTGTGTGGCACCATCATTCCGAAGTTCGGGCGATTTGCTATTGGCTGTTGGTTTGGCAAATGGAAAAGTTGGACTGTGTAATTTTGTGTCGCCGAATGAGAATAACATCGAATTCAGTGGGTTTAATGAAAACATATCCATTTTCTCCCATGAACACCAACTAATTTCATGTTTTTTTTTCTATTTTTAGCGCCAAAACAATCGCGACCGTGTGTGTGCCTATCATGGCATGAAACTGAGCCGAATCTTCTGGCAATTGGTCACGATAGGAATCGGTCAGATCATTGCATCACCGTGTGGGACACCGAACGTGGTGTGCCAAAGGAGAAATCCGTGTTGCATTTTATCGGATTGTCGGATACAGCCCACTCTTTGTGCTGGGACAAAACAGGGCGAATTTTATTCGCTGGAATGAGTCACAAATACATGAAAATGATGGACCTAAGACAGAGCTCACCACCAGTCAGTGTGTGTAATACAAGAGCTTTGCATGGATTGACAATTGCCGCGAATGGCCGCCTACTGGCGGGTTTCGTCGATAATTCCATCCATCTATGGGACATTCGTCGTATTGAAAAACCGATCGCCATAGCAAACACCGAAAAGAATATTAGTGATATGAGCTGGTGTCCATCACGTAATTCGACATTGGCAACACTTCAACGCGACTCACCGTTCATTCATTTATTCGATTTTCATTGTTCGTCGCCAAACGAATCGGTGACTGATGTCGTCACACATTCAATCAAACGCATCGTTTCACCGTTTCAAAAGAAAATCAGCACAGCACCGAGAAACATAACCATTAGCAACATATCGTGGCATCCATACGATATGGAACGATTACTTGCACTGTCCGGATCGGGAATTATTTGTGATTTTAAAATTCCACAACGCATTGCCATTTCATTTGATGCAATGAATAATTTGTGCGGAGCCATTGGATCGCAGCTGAATTGCTTGAACACACCTTCACCACCATCGACACCATGCGAATCGGTCAGCCCATGGGAAAATTCAAACAATGGAGAGCACACTCCAAGTGGATTTCCAGAAGACATTGTCGATATTATGCATCGCAGAGCCATCAACGATTATGGCAAATTGGTTGGTTTGCGGTTTTTATTTGATTTAATCCATAAAAAGCCTTGAATTGATCCATTCAGCTCTTGAGATACGAAAAATTGCTTTGCTAATCAGAAAAATCGTTTCTAATTTCAGACTGACATTCAGAAAAATGGTGACTTGGCCAATAATGCAGCATTGAAGTCCGTTTGGCAAATGCTAGCCCATATGCATCAAGAAGATTGCGGCCTCGGTTTGAAAGAGATTATCGGCATTAGCGAAACTATTTTATTAACTTGGCAAGATTTTCCAAATGGACCAGCTATGAAAGCTTATAAGTGAGGAAAAAGTCTTTTTTGTTCAATTTTTTTACTTTTTCTGCAAGTTTTCGTTCATGTGTGTTCGGCACACATTAATTTACATGTGTGAAAATTTCTATTCATTTTTTTTACCCATTTTTATATTTCTGTTCACTCTTTTCCAAATTGGTCTCTATTCAATTCGATTTTTTCCTAGGAGTGATCAACGTGATTTCAGTAGGCATTTATGCGGATGGACATTCGATCGCAATACTAAGGATAGTTTCCTACAATATCTCGATGGATTGTGTGCTAAACAAGAGTTCACACGTGCTGCAATGATTGCAGTGTTTCAATTGAAAATCCGGCTTGCTATCGATATACTGAGCAAAGGTGCTGATAATTCACTGGAGTCAAGCAATTTGCGAATGGCAGCTATCGCTTTGTCTGGATTTAGCTTTGAGAAAAGTGCCATTTGGAGATCTCAGTGTGCCACAGCACAGACGCAATTGTCTGACCCGCATTTAAGAGCGTTATTCGCATTTTTAACACCCGAAAATGGATCGTATGATAAAGTGTTGGTAAGGATTTGCTCCAAATTTACCACACCTATATTTTGATTTGATTCTTGCATTTCTTCTCGTTCAATCGATTTTAATTGCTAAAGAAATTTTCTCAAAAGAAATTTTTCTTCTGCAATTTTTCAAATTATTTCTGAAAATCTACTCAGTTTTCAAGTTATGTCCGTGTTTAGTCCAGCAAATTCGGAAATAACAATTTGCACTCGAAATATTTTCAATATTCCCCTTCTCTTTTCTTATTTCCAGAACGAAAGTCGTGTATCGATTGGTGATCGAATGGCATTTGCATGCCAATATCTATCCGACACAAAATTATCCGACTACATAAAAACGATGATACAAACATGTATAAAAACTCGTGATTTACATGGTCTCCTGTTAACCGGTGCAACGACCGAAGGCATCACACTGCTCCAAAGCTATTTGGATGGGACTGATGATGTGCAAACGGTTGCTTTGATTGCGATAAAATTTCTACCAAAAGATTTGCTCGATGATCCAAGCGTTCAATATTGGATTCAGTCATACCGTGAATTGCTTGATATCTGGCGTCTATGGGAGCATCGAGCTCATTTGGATATCATGCTAAGTCAATTAAATTCATCACCAAAACACTTGAAATCGGTGTTTCTATCGTGTAGTTTCTGTGGGAAAAATGTGTCTGCATGCATGTACGATGAGGCGCGGGCACGATCCGCTTCGTCCAACATCAACAAATTATCATCGTGCCCGAGCTGTAGAAAGCCATTGCCAAGGTGTTCACTATGTTTGCTGCACATGGGAACAACGAATGGTGCATCGTTCCAGAATAAATCCGGTCATCCGTCGTCTGGATGGCAATCGAAACCATTTGCCAAATGGTATTCATGGTGCCAAAGCTGTCGGCATGGTGGTCACACGGAGCATCTCACACAATGGTTCAGCACACACCAAGAATGTCCAGTCTCTTCGTGTTCCTGCAAATGTTTTGGCTTAGATTTTCCACTACCACCACTCAATGGGATTGCATCCGAGACGACTTACTAGAAAAAATACTTATCTCGAGAAACTTTTGATCGAACTTGGTGCTTAATTCAATTAATTTTTGTTTTTTCATTTAGACTTTTTGATGTTTTGTTCTTTTTTCGTTGCACTTTTCTTCGTAGCAATAGCAGTATGAAGCAAAAGCCTTGTCGTTTTGTAGTTTAGTCAACGAATTTGTCTTAGAGTTTAAAGTCTATTTCTGTACATTTTGCAAATGTTCATCCATTCTTAACTTTTCTAAAAAAATCGTATAATAAAGTGAAATCAATAGTAATGAAAGGAAAATGTATGTATTTCACTGATATTTCTCCCTATTCCCTATTCACATCGACCCACAGACCGAAATTGGCTTAATGAATTTATGTTGCACAGAAATTAATTTCAATTTTAAATAGGTAAAAACACCTCTTTATTGCTGCTTCTCTCGGAAAATGAAATGTGTTCAATGCATAAGAATTTATGTAAAATTCTCATAGAAGCAGAAACATCGCTGTTGAAATAATAACGAAGTCGATAAAGAGCCGTCAAAGAAAGAGATGATGTTTAAATGATCGTAAATTTATTCAAACAACACATAAAACAATCTCCATTTTGATTTGAATCGGTTGAGGTAGAAAAATGTTGTTTTGATTGCATTTATTTATTTCTGGGCCGCGCGGTACAAAACGATTGAATGAATAAAGAAAAAATGTTTCATTGAAATGCGAGACCAGAATGTATGCGAACGATGAAGCATTGTGCGCATAAGCATTTAACATATTATGTGAATATTTAAATTAATATCTCGTTTGTTTTGCTGATTTTATTTCCACTCTTCAATCTGGTTTTGCGTTGAAGATGCCAATTTAGGATAATTCATTGAGATATGCCTACGCCGATGAATCGTATGATTTAACACATATTTCCATATGGGTTTCTCTATATATGTGACAATGTCAATGGCCCGCCCATTTCGAAACGAGGTATATAGAAAATGGATAAAATTGAAGGCGGAGCTCTGCGATACCACTCTGTCAATACACGGGCACGAAAAGACTTTGATATGTACGTTGTATGGATGGCTCAAGTTGGTAAACTGTTCATTTACCAAGAATATCGCGAGTAATAATTAGTTAATGTCGATTTCGGTTTTCTTCTTTTGCTTTGCTTATTTATTCAATTAGTCTTTGCTGCATTGTTCTACGCTCCAAAGCCAACACACACACAAGGTAATTGGAATCAATAGCAGCAGCAGCGCCAGAAGAAGACAAAGAATAAGAAGAAGAACAAAAAAGAAGCAAAAACTAAATTTAATAACAAAAAGACTATTTTCTCTGCGGTCAGACGAGACGCGCTGCATCGAGCACTCGCCTCAAAAGCCGTTGTTATTCGCAATTTTAATTGCGACCATGGTCTTGGTAATTCTTGAATTCGGCGCCCTTTTTTCATCACCATTTTTTTTCTCGCTTCCTTCGTTGTGCGCATCTTTACGGCACAGCTCGGCCTTTCATCACATCGCCTTAACTAAACCAAACACACATTTCAACGTCTTTTCAACAATTACATCTGTGCGAAATTTAATTGAAAAATAAATTACTACATTCAATTACAGCATGTAAACCGTATAAATGAAATTATTATCGGAATTCATGGCATTGCGGTACCGAGCCAGTGGAAGAATGGCGAGCGCAAACAAACAACGATTTAGAAAGAAAAGAAAAAGATGATTCATGGAGCGACTATGGCCAAAGAGAGCAAACCGAATAACATCGACGAAGCGAACCGTTTTGTGAAGTCCTTCGGTCGGGCATCTGCACGAGACGGTTTTGATTGAAAATTTCCACCGTACACTCGTTTACTTTCTAATAACTTTAATTATGATGATTTGATTAAATTTCGCACAGTTCGGCCCTTTTTATTTTGGCACAGAAAATGAGCGATATGTGCCAAATTACCAGATATTATGACCGAAAATGTGATCGTAACAAGCAGATTAATGATCACATTTTTACCAACTCCCAACATTTATATTGACTCGAGATTTTTATACATGCCATTTTATATAATTATTTATTTATATCGAATCAAAAAGTATACACGACGACTATAATTTTATTCGATTTTTATACTGTTTCCGGCCATTCATTGATTTCACATATCACATTCGGATATTTTCACATTTGAACGCTGATTCTACACATGAAATAACAAACGCACACACGCCGATTTCGACTCGGTTTAATTCACTCTTTCACTTTTTAATCCAATTGGTGGAATTAGGAGATATAATCATTTTTGACTTCCGCAAAAAAAACGATGTATTTTGGCGGCATCAAATGAGCCAACCTTATCTCAATCTAGGAGTTGAATCCAAATTTATCATTTATTTTGATTTCATTTCAGAAGAGATGGCTTTGATTTTTTAATTCTTTTTTAATACCCATTTTAATGCAGAAATAGGATGAAATTAAATAAAGGCGCGACGCCGTCGATGCAATGTATATGATGAGTCAACGGTGCACAATTTTTCAGTCATGAAGTTGTTTAGATTATCAAATGAAATCAAGTGTAAATTTTAGATGTGAAAAACGATATATTTCCTTCGGTACAAAGTCAACTGAATATTAAATTTAGACATAAAGTTAAAGAAAATTTAAATGAAAATTAAGTGTGTTTTCATTGTTCAAAATTTACATGCCAATGACAATTAATTTAAAAAAATTCGAAATTTCATTTTCTCAAGTTTTCTTAAATCATTTAATGATAATTTTTGATTAATTGCTTTGTCATTTCAAGTTATGCATTTAACTTTCAAATAGGATTAAATGTGGTAATCAGCATGAAATAGACGTTTTTTCTCAAACAAATACTTCTCTCTACTAGCTAGTAGAGTAGCTACTTACTAGCCTGCTACAAATCTGGGCTTTCGTTTCAAAAGCGTGTGAAAATTTCGTCTGGTACCAAGGCTTTGAGCATTAATACTAACCTATCATAATTTCTTCGTTAAATGCTTCGAGAAGTAATTGAAAATCAATAAAATGGCTATTTGCATATAGATTTCCGTTCCGTAAAAAAGCAACAACCTCGTTGGGTTGAAATGCGCCACAGAGTCGCATAGTTTCCATTGCCATATCATGTAATAAATGGTCTTGGACGTATCATTTATTTATAACCGTAATTTAGTTCATTAGAAATGGCAGTCACACAGCATGATAGTGTAGTTACCACACACAAAATAATAATTATTCAAATTAAAACCAAAGTAATAACTCAACGAGTGCACCGGAATAATTTCATTTGAAGAGAGAAATAGAAAAAAAACACGACACCAACGACGAAAAAACACATCAAATCTCTTACGAACACGTCAAAACCCAAAGCTCGTAACGTAACAAATTTGCCCAATTTGTTTTCCTGAAACATAAATATGTGACTTTTGTGGCAGAGCATCAAAAGTTAATTCGGGTAATGAAACCATCCAGCGAACAGGGTCTATCTTATCACATCACGACAATTAGAACAATGGGAATGAACGGGGAAAAAATTGGGTAAGCAAAAGGCAAACAACGTTTTTTTTTCTGTGAGCATTAATAAAATTATAATAATCCAAAAAATTGGTTGGATCGTATGTTCTAACGATTACATTACTGTTATCGCGGTTTGATCTATCTCTCTCTCCCTCGGTGTGTTGTCTCTTGCATAACATTACAAATGACAAACGAGCAAAATAAATCTTCATTTCTGGGTGAGTTGAAACAATAGACCGATTGAAGGTGAATAAAACGTTCGTCGTCGCTAACCCAGATAAAAAGCAATTGAGTTTTTATTTCGTTGATTCAATTGAAGCTAATTAAACAGACAAAATGGCATTTTGTGTTCGACAAGCATTAATCGAATTATAATTAGATTTTTGTATGTTTAGTTTGCGCATTTCACTCTCGGTAAACGAATGCGATTCGGGTGTTCGAACCATTTAAATAATACCACAATTCGGAACAGCGTAATCATTTTTTTCCCTTGGGTAGCAAGAGAATTAGATTTGGCTTATAACCTCAATAATTGGATTGTCTATTTATACTACATTTTATTTAATTTTGGGCAGATGATTCGCATGTGATAAAAACGAATCCGGAAAATTAAAGTATCTAAAGTCGTACATGGAGACATGAAGCTCAGAAGAAAATTGAAAACGACCATTTGGAAGAAATTTCTTCCAAAATTCTCATGACGATCATAATTTTGGTTCGATTCGCGTTATTGGAATTTCCGGTTGCATTACGCCGCACACATCAATTTCAAAGTCTGATTCCTTTTTTCGGTGTGGCTAGCATGGTTTCTTCTAACTTATGACGCTGTTTTTACCTTTGTTTCTGTCTATTTCGGCTCTTGTTTCTTTTCACTTAGGTTCTTGTCTTTTTCTGCTGTGACTTCCATTTCTTCAAACTTCGACTTTTACTCCGACATTCATTCTGCTTCGTCTCTCATTCATTTTTCCCTTTTCTGTTTCGGCTTCAGCTTTGGCTTCGACTTCGCCTTGCCTAACCTTCACTTCTTCCAAATAACTGTTGAAGTTTTGAGTGCGTTTTGTTCATCAGGTTTCCCACCTTTTGAAATTCGTCTAATTGTTTGACAGCGATCTGTTGGGCGATCATTTTTCGACGTTGCTACTGGGCGACAACATTGAAATCGTGTGCACACCTCACATGCGATTCGCTACTGGTTTTCCGTTCAAAAATTACCCAAAAAAAGAACTGAGCCGCAGACACTTTTTTCCATACGGAAAACGCCAAACACGCAACCGATTAAATAATCTCGAATGCGAGAGCGGCAACTAGAGAACAGAAAAAAAAACAAATCACTGGCCTCATCCATTCAGCCAATTTATACAATTTCATTTCAAATTACGAACTATTTGTTTCGGCCAACTAATATCAATTATAATGTGTTATTAACGTTATTGTTTTTTTTTATTCTCTTCTCCTTATTTGTCGTGTGTGTGTGTGTTACAAAGTTGTTGGTCTGATTCTTGATTCTGAGTTTTTGTTGTTTTTTTTCTGCGCCACACGCTTTCAACTCAAGCGGAAAATGCTCACAGCACAGATTAAAAACACGAACGACAGCGCACAAATCAATCAAACGTAATCAAATTTATACCAATTTACGAGACTTTCACGCGCATAAAACCCACCGCACATCGACCAAAAACAGAAAAAAGGATAGAACACCGAAAAAAACGCAGTAGGAAGAGAAAGCCAAAGCCAAAGAGAAAGCACATTAAACCAGGAAAATAATGACGAAACCATTTC